AAGGATGGTTTACTGAATCTGTCATCACTCTGTCTCTTATACACATCTAGATGTGTATAAAAGTTCTGTATCTGTCTCAAAATAAAATTTATTTACCGATATTCCGGCGTTTCCTGCGAATTGACGAAAAAAATGTCAATAGTTTTGAGAGAATAGATCGCACAATCTGAAAGCTTTCCTGTTAAATCATGATGCAGATATTATGTATAATCAGCTACGTAAGTCCCTATGATACATATTACTACATTTCGTAAGTTTGTAATGGATTCGTTCACGGAAAATTGAGCACAGCATCACCGGAAGTACACTGGTAGATATACAATATTCTGAGGTTGTGAACAAATTAAAAAAAAATCTGCATTGTTAGCTTATGAATATAAAGGTAAATTATCTTCATACGTATGATTAAGCCCAAGTATTTTGAAATAACGTAAGATAAACAACTATTACCCTATTCATACGTATTATTTGTCACATATCTGAATGAAAGACGAGAGGTATACTAATAGTCAGGAGTCAGTCATGTGTGACGAGATCGATGATTCAAAAGTTACCTTTACCGGTGGAATGGGCTATGGTGGAGAGACTGTCGACAAAAAACCTAGTTATTTACTAAACAATCCCTGAACAATACACCCTCGACCGCGTAACAAAAGCTATCCCAAACCACAAATGGATTTGCATGTCTTTGAATGGTAAACGTAAGCAAGGCCATTTTTTTAGAGCAACAAAACAGTTCGATAAAAAATGATCCACACAGTGATTCATTCGATCTAGAGATGGCGAACACGAAATCATTAGGCACACTTTATTATCTGTGTATAGTGATATTATATTTTTCACCGATGTCATACAGTCAAGGTGAAGGTAAGGACGCTCGATATTTTATTAGTTCCCTTTTCAGTGGTAAAATATTCAAACTTATATATAATGATGGCAATATCAAATCCTAATGTAAATTGAGAGTAATCAGATTATGTTTATCTGGCTATCGTGCGGGACAGGTTTATGAATTTTATTTACAATCGGAAAGGAAAGAACATAGGCGTTATAAACAATGTATTTGCTTTTTGAATACGGAGATGAATAAAGTGGTTTTATGTAGGCATGTACGTACTGTGGATAGGTTATTTATGCCTGTCCTGTTACGTTACACACACACTTAATATATATATATAATATATATATATATATATATATATATATATATAATTATAGATATGTTATATGATGTGAGTTAGAGATAAACATCGAAAAGCAGCTGTTTTGTTTCGAAGTAAATATAATTCAGTATAATTTGTTTCTCATTTTCATTTTGATTATCATTATCACAATTATTAAATTAAATATTATTATTATTATTATTATTATTATCATTGATATCATTGTCATAATAAGTTATCGTCATTATTATTATAATTGTTATTTGTCATCACATCATCATTACTATCTTTATCATTTTCATCTTCATCGTCGTCATCACTATCATCAAATAATGAATAATCATCATTAAAATGACTTGCTGTACATTACGTCCTATGGTATATGAATATACATTTAGGCCTATGTTGTTTTTTTGTTGTTGTTGTTTTCAATATTTTATCATTTCAGATGTATGTGGGTTTCCTGGGATTAAAAGTAACGGAAATACGCAACCATTTAAAGCGTCTTATGCAATAGGAGAAATTGTTACTTTTTCTTGTTACAGTAATTATGTAATCGTAGGCCAGGCGAATTTGACATGCCAAGGTGGGGATACATGGGACGCTGAGACTCCCGAGTGTGTCAAGATCTGCCCAGAACTCTCATTCCCCGATACCCAGGTAATATCTAGGAACGTAACATTGGAGGGTATCAATGTTATTGGTGACATCCTGGTTTGGGAATGTAAAGACGGTTACTCAATAGATTCGGGACAAGCGAACGATCAGACGGTTACCATCTGCAAACCGGAAGGATGGTTTACTGAATCTGTCATCACTTGTTCTAGTAAGTTTAACATACGTGCTATATATATATATA